ATTTTTTTATTTGATTTTTGTGAAATGACCCTGCAAATAAATCGAATAGAAGCTATACTGTATAGTAAGTAATTATAAATTTACTATAAAATATTTTTTCAAGACAGGTTTTTCCAAAAGCGACAGCTTTTTCGCATGACTGTATATTTAATCTATTCAAATTTAAATTAGTAAATAATTAATCTATATTAAATTATATACCAATAATTCAAATAGAAATATATATCGATAAACAATAATAATAATGAAAATATAATATGTGATTCAAAAATGTTATGAATATTTATTTAATAACACTATTTTATCATAAGAAACATTTTGTTTTTAAAAAGTTTTGAATAAAAAAAAATTATGTTTTCTTCAATAGGTTTTAATTAATGATTATAGCTTCATAATATAAAAATTATAGTTTTGTTTTAACACGTTCTATATAGATAAATTAATTTAACAAATTAAAAAAAATCAAATACAAGTTTTGGTAAGTTTCAAGAAAATTGATTTCTTGAAATCAGAAAAAAATTCAATTAATTTTTAATTTAACGCATTTTTGACTTAATTACTAAACCAAATACAATAATTTAAATAAGAATAACAACCAAATGAATACTAATAACACAAGTAATAATAGTAATACTAACCAGATTACATATTATTATTTACATACCAGTTTACTTACAAACAACAATAGAAAAACAAAAATATGAACGAAATAATCAATGAGTGGCATGTGCCCCGTTTTGCTTGAAGAAACGTGTCGTGTTATAATTAACGACATAGTTGTAGTGCTATCAAAGATTTTTAGAATGTCTCAAGAAGACAATATGCCTCAAGATGTTATTAAGCAGATCGTTGGTGGAATAATAAAAAAGATAGTAAGTTTCTCAAATAATGTTTCTGATGTGTTAAGTGAGTACGCTGAATATCCTGATGTCTGCGAAGATATCACTGTATCTCAAAAAGAACTTAAAGACCTCATTCAAAATTTTAATGAGTCTCTTGTAACATTATCCACTGAACAAATATCTGAAGGAATTTCTCATTTGATATTTTGGGCACGAGCAAGTGGAGTTAAAGTAGCAAACGCGTGTTGGGTGGTGGTGAATGCGTTTTTTGAAAAGTTGAGTAGTGACAAGGGATTGTATGAGACATCGACTCAAATGGTCATTGGTGCTGAGAAAAACAATTTTTCCAAATTCCAAAAGTTAGTTTCAGAGTATGCAACAAATGTTTTAAAAGTGACCAGCGACATAAAAAATTTGATGAAAAACAAGATTATTAAAATGTATGAGACTGAGGTGACCAAGACTGTTTTTCTAATAGAGAACAACGCTTATGACATTTTCAATGCAAACCAAGCAGTTAAAATCAGTGATTTTAATTTAGACGAATTCAAAGCAAAAAGTGTTGAAATCTCACAACAAGTTGCCAAAGTGGATGAGTGGATTGATATCGCATTTTTGGAGAATAAACAGATGTATAGTATATATACCACAGAATACTTCTCTGACGCGCAATTTTCTATTAATTTTAAAAATAATTTTGCTACAGCATTTAAGAGCGCAGTGACTGACGTGGAGGAGATGAGGAAGGACGTCCAGACGCGAAATAACAAAGACTTTCTCACCCGAGGAACATCAGTCATTCACTTAATAAAAGCAGCGACTCAGATGTTAATGAAGGAGTATTCCAGTAATGAAGAATACAACAAAAGAATTTTTGCAGAGCGGACTTCCGAGTTATTGGCGAACGCAATTAACACATCGAAGCCTACATTTTCAAATCCAAATGATGAAGAAGGAAAGACCGTCGCATGTCTTGCACTGAACGAATTGCAATTACAATTCAAAGTAATTATAAAGAAGTGCGAATACACCACCTCTGACAATGACCAATTGAGTTCAAAGAATACAGTCGCTGGCGATAAGGTGAAGGAGATCACTAAAATCCGGTCGCACACTGAAGACCGACTGAATGAAGAAAGGTACGTCTGTCTATTAACAGACATGGCAAGTGTAATGGTACAACTAAAGAGTTTGTACATCGACAACCAAATGCTGGACGTATCTAAAATAGCAAAAGAGATACTTAGAACGATCAACGCAGTTTTAGAGAATTTCGGTGAGAATGAGAATGAAAACATTTATAAGCAATTTGTCATGTTACAACAGATGTACGTCGCTGCAATTAAAGAAGCAAATTTGTCGATTAAAGATCCAAAGAACGAAACACAGCAAAAAGTCACTGTCGCGAAGCTGGAAGAGACTTTGGAGTTCATCAGAAACTTGCAGAGCTCCATCGAAAAGTTTGTTAAAGAAACTAAAGAGGCAAAAATACAGAAAGAACAACAAAAAGTGTTTTCACCACCAAAAAAGAGAAAGCAGAAGACCCACATCAAAAGTGAAGACGGTGATGATGAAAACAGTGACGCGCCAATTAAAAATAACGAAGTTGAACCGCCAAAGACTCTAGAAAAGTCACAAGACCAAAAACAAGAAGAAAAACACCAAGAAAATCAAATTCAAAAAGAAGTTCAAATAGAAAAGAGTTCTGCAAATGACAAAAAGTCGAATGAAAAATTGAAGCTCCAAAAAGAAGAGGAGAAACCAACTGAGAGTAAACGAGTGACACCACCCTCTTTGTCTGTCCCACAATTTCGTGAAATCTCATTCCAATTCGACTTCTTTGGAGTCAAAAAGATGGTGAAAGCAGTCCCAAATACAAACGGGAGTAAGCCACAAACACGAATTAAGCTTGTGGAGCTTCCTGTGATGAAAATACAGTGGGACGACATTATACCCTTTTCAGTCACAATGATACACATTGAAGACAAAGAAATGGTGATAGGGACTGCAGAGGGGGTTGTCATGTTCCTTGATGTAACGAGTGGAATGGTCGTCCGTCCATTATTATTAGTCGAAGGAGCACTCTCGAGTATTTTTTATTCTTCTGACTATCTTTATATCGTTCTAAGTACTTTTCTTCTTGAAATTTATAAGAATGGCGAATTACTGAAGAAGGTCGATTTCTCAAAAATAATGAAACAACTCAAAGGGAGAGAAGTGAAGGGGGTTCGCTTAGTTAAAGAAGGATTTTGTATCAATTTTGACTTTGAGGTCGACGTCTTATATTTCAATGGGAAGTGGGTTGTGAGCAGGTCAGTGACTTGGGAAATTAATGAGTACGACGCAAAGGAGAAAACACTGACTGAATGTGAAATTTCATTGGCTTCTATTTCTCTCGACTTTGAGGAAACTCGATTCCAGCCGTTAGCAAAAAAGTACCTCGAGTTGCTGAAGATCTTCGACGACAAAAATCGAGGCAAAAAGTTCATGACACTGCTTGAGAGTTTACCAAGTAAAAAGGTCGTTGAAGACTCGAAGAAGGAAGTGAAGAAGTGGATGAAATTGTGAATATTATAAGGTATAGTATATTATATTAGAATTGACTTCTAATATTCCATGAATTAATTGCAATTCAATACGTTTATGGTTCTCTATTAAAAAACTATATTTTTATAATATATAACTATAAAATATAGTTTGGTAAAGGAAATAAATTTTGAATCCATAAAGTCTATTTCTGGAAAATATATCGAATGGATAAAACAGAATCTTGATAAAAATAACTAAACCAATGGAGAGTCAAGAAGAAGGTGACAAAGTACAAACAGACAATGACAAAGAGATGGAAAGTATCCAAAGAATACAACAGAAGATTGAACAGAATGATAATGACATCAAAGAACTTGTTATGGCATACAACAGTCTTTCGAGTAAATTGGATACTTTTGCAAATACGATACATTCTGTTGTTATGACAGAAAACCAACAAAAGGTCATTTATGAAGAATTGAAAGTGGTCTGTGAAGTATTTAAAGAGGTGCTAACATACAAAGAGTTTTGTCGGTCAAATGTAGGAAAAGAATATTTCCAAGAGATTACAGAACAAGTAGCCGAAGACATTAAACAAGAGTTATCAAGTACTTACAAGAGCGTGAGCGAAGAAATAGAAAAGACAAAAGATATAGTGAAGGCTTTACATAATGATATTGAAATAGTTGATGTTGGCATTCAAAACAAAATTTCAACTCTTTTTGGAAAAGAAAAACCAACACAACAAAGTGAAGTTGTTGAGCAAGGACAGATTGAAGAATTCACAGACTCGACACCTCAAAGGGGTGAACAAGTGAAAAGAGCAAACAGCGCTAATCCTCACGATGATGAAATAACAGGTGTTCATTTAAGAACAAACAGCGCAAAACCAAATTTAAATGACGGAAGTAAGAACAGTGAAATGTCGGACCAAGCTTTTAAACAAAATGAAGTCGAAGACATCCGTGACAAAACAACCACAGAAAAAGGAACCGACAACGACAAAAAAGAACTGGAGCATTCCCAAAGTCCAAGCCCTCCTGTTTACAAAAATAGAAATTTGGTGTATTGACAACTTGATATCAACGGTATTATAATTGTCTCTTGTGTAATGTTTTTTCATTGTTCATATATTATATTTTAATTTATTTGATCAACAAAAACCTTGTCAAACAAAGTGTTTTTGTTTTTTAAACACTTGTTATTCAAAGTGTATTACTGACAAAAAAATCACAAGAATTAATCATTATAACATATATTATTTTTGATTTAATTATTACAAATGTGAGCTTAATAATTAATCAATAATTGGTTGGAAAACATAATGGGATTGATTATTCAATAAGATCTTTAATCCGGAGAACAACATCTTCTATCAAGAGTCTTGTTTTTGCTTCTTGGGACCACGTGTCTTGAATAAGATTGAACTCTTTTGCAGTAATATTGTCGGATTTCTCCATTCTTTTGTTATCACTAACGAATTCAGCGATCATCCAAGAGTATCTGAACAATTCCATTGGATAAGCTTTACACCACCCGAAGCATTCATACATAGTTATTGAAAACGAAAAGATGTCAGCTGGTTTTGTGTATTTCTCTTGCTTTAACACCTCAGGTGCCATGTAAATTGGGGTTCCAATCCCTTTAGTGAATGTCATATTAGTCATCAACATGTTGATGTTTCTCGACGACCCAAAGTCAGTCAATTTGGCATTCACTTGAACTCCTTTATTCATCGAAAAAATAAGAATGTTGTCAGGTTTTATATCTCTGTGCATGATGTTGTTGGAGTGCAAATACTGAATTCCTCTCGCAGCGTCAAACATGAATTTGATTCTCAGACCTCTCTCAACCTCTTTAGATGGTATCTTTTTCAACATCGAATTAAGACTTCCAAATTCTGCAAATTCTGTTACTATGCAAATTTTTGTCGTGACAAAGACCGCACCATAGAAATGAACAATGAACTCACTTCTAAATTTGTCTAACATATCTATCTCGCGTGTGAAATCTTCAATACCCTCAGCTGATACATCAAACACTTTCATCTTCTTAATTGCAACCAACTTTTCCTTGTATGTTCCTTTGAAAACAACTCCAAATCCACCCTCACCAACCTGCTCTATATCAACGAGATCCTTTGGGTCAAGGCGAGTTGACATGACCGTCTCAGCTTTAATGAGAAACTCGTTTGCAGATTCTTTCCCGGTTGACAAATTTTTGGAAATAATCAACACAGTGCTCTCAATCTTACAAGTAAATTTGGGAGTCAAGAAAAGACTAAATTCACAAGCATACCCACTTCTGAGTGTAACCATCTCTGGACACACCCTCAATTCAAACTTTTCCTCTCCCGTTTTAATTGAAAATTGTACTTTCGTTACTTTCCTATTTGAATTTCCAATACAGAGAACAGCTTGTGTCTCAATATCAACTGGAACTTTGTCTTCTATCGAACAGAATTCAACATACGGTTTGTCCACCATAATTCCATCACTCAACTCAACAAAGTCCAAATTTGTTTTCGACATCTTAAAGACATTGAATCGTCTCTTCAATTCCTTCATCTTTTGTACCTTCATTATTTTGAGTGAAGCGAAAAAGAATGCCAATATTAAGCCTATTAAAAGTACAACACCTCCAATGACTGCTAATAATATTACCCACCACACTGGACTATTCATACAATATAAACCATCAACACTGGGAGCTTGCCAGAATGGACACTTGATACATCTGTTGTTCATTGCTTCTATACATCCCGTGACTGTTGTGTAACTCAGACATAACCCTTTATTAAGAACTGTACCATTCTCACAAATGGTGCACTCTCCATCACTTAAACATCGAATACATTTGTCTGTACATTTCTGGCATTGATTCGATTTATACGTGTGGTAACCCTCTTCACATTGAGTGCATCCTCGCTGTGTAATAGCAACAGAACAACCATATATTAAACTTTGTGGTACACACTGATTTTGGTCATTCATGAAATTAGTTTCGTTGCAGGTCAAGCATATGTGAGGTATTTTACAAGAGCCACACTGTTCATCACATCTTTGGCATTGTTGGTCTTTGAGATAAAAACCGTCTTGACACTCGTAACATCTATCTCCACCAAGAGACATCACTTTGCACACTGCCTCCAATTCAGCATTGGAAAGACATTTGTTGTTCTTCAAAAATCGCTTATCTGGACAGGTGAGACAGAAATCCGGAGAGTTCTTGCATGTTGGGCACATTGGATCACAATCACTACACTTCAATTCATTGTCAACATACATACCATCTTTGCACCTTAAACACCCTGTTGTGTTTGGTGTTATACAAGTGGTCAAATCTGGAACTACACATTTGTTAAAAGACTCCAACATATATCCTTCGTCACAGTTAACACATTTTTCATTTTTGTAAAGTATACAATGCTCTATCGGAAGAAGACACTTCCCATTGTTATCAATTGCAGTGTTGATCGAATTTTTACACGTCTTTAAAACACAATTACCATTTAAGTCGAATTCATAATTCATTTTACAAACAGTACACTGCTCTCCAATACATTCATCACAGTTGCCAAAATGATTATCACATTTTTCGCAAAATGTTTCATTTAAAACGAAGTATCCTTTTTGGCAATATATAATGGAGGAGTCTCCTCTCATCACAACATAATCTGAGATGGGAACACATTTTCCATTTACGTTCACTGTGTTACTTGAAGATGTGCACATTTGACAAGTGTTATCATTGTTTCTTGTCTGACAATTGTCATCTGGTTCTTTACACCTTCCTCTATAATTAATATACCCATCTTCACATTTGATACAATCACTTAATCTGTTGACCAAACAATGTGGATCTTTTACACAAACTCCATCGATATGAACATATCCGTCTTTACATAACACACATTTATCAACTAAATTTTTGTCTTTTATACATGTTACACAGTTGACATCGTCACATATATAGCACTTTTGTGTAATTGAATCAAAAGAATCCCCATTGAGACATTTCAGTAGTTTGGAACATCTGAATTCATCAGAGAAAAATCCAGAACTACACAAAGTGCTTCCAACAGTAAATCCGTTAGTTGAAGAAACAAACGTTTTCTTCTCTAATTGTTGGAACTCGACTTCGGTGGGTTCGGCTGTGTCTAAATGTATGTTGAGATTGGCAGTTTTAGTTACAGACAATTGATAACCCGCTATATAAAAAACATTTTTTTCATCAAGATTTCTTAAAGATTTTGTACTTTGAAACTCATTCGTGTCGTTTGTATGGATAAATATTCGATGCTCGGTACTTATTGGAACAATGTAACAATCTGGAGATGTAATATCACACGGGCAATAAGGTTCAACATATTGGCTTTCATTTAAATTGGTGGATTTCAAATGACAGAATAATCTGTTGGACTCTCCATACCTAAGCAATTGATTACCAGCAAGTAGTTTAAATCCTTTTGGTGGAGATATCTTCATAATTGCGTTCGAAAAGAAAAGATCAAATTCCGCGTCTTCGTTTATTTTCATTGTTGAAAAAGTTGCAACTTCGGTGTAGTAAATTAGTGGAATGTCTCTTATATCCCTTCTCGTTACATCAATTGTACATACATCAGTCATCTTAAAAACACTGGTGTTAATAAACGACATTCCATCAACATTTAAAGTACAACCATTACAATAAAAACTTTCAGTGTGAATAGCTTCAATTGGGGAAGTTGAGCTTATGTTTAAAACAGATGATCTAACTAACAAGTCAAGAGTCGTTAATTGCCCACTTCCTTCAATTTTTAGTACGGTATTTGAAGTAACTTGAAAAAAATTATCGGATTGTATTTTTCCACCATCCTTGATTATAAGAGAACAATTTGTAAAATCAGCATGAAATGTACTTAAGATTGTTCTTCTCAAATGAAATGAACAACTTTCAAGAATAAACCTCTCAATTCTAATTGAACTAATTGAATTGATATCTAATATACCCCTTTCTAAATACAAATTCGTAATTTTTATGTTAGAATAGTCAGATACCTTAACCATTCCAGAAACCATTGTAAATTCCAGAACAACCAATGATGAATTTTGCAACATCTCAAGCTCTGAGTTATCAACATTAATCGAAAATTTACTAATAATTTTTGAGTGGTCATACATAGTTATTTTTGACTGATTCTTAAGTGCAAAATCGTCTTCAATGGTGAGCAATGAAGTATCATTCATTGTAATAAAGGAACCAACTGAAGTTAGATCCAACAATGATAAACTTGCTTCATCTCCTTTTATTGTAATAGTAGAATTTGTGAGAGACAATGGAGTCTCAATGATGCATTGAGTATCCCACACTTCTTGAGTTCCAATGATATCCAAATTTGAAGGACATTCTGCATACCCAAGAACAAAACACGCAACCAATGGTAAAAATAAAGACATCTTTATTCTGAGTCTTATAGATCTGCGTTAAAAACTTGGAAACCCCGTCTCAGTTAAAATTAACTGGTTTATGTTTTTGTGTTCAAAATAAAAGACGTTTTTTATTATGATAAGATCTTAAATACATTTAACTGGTTTCTATATATACATTTAAAGTACCAAAAATACTAATTCTACAAATTATTGATTAATTATTATTATACTAATCAATAAATTTTTTTTTGGTATTTTTGTTTTTTATCTATTTCTATATTTTGAAAAACAAATCAAAATATAAAAAATATCTTAAAAATGTATCATAAACTATAAAATATTTATATTTAAAACAATTATAGTTAATTATTATAAATACTAGTACATCAATACAAACAAGTAAAAATGTGATATTGTTTTTTATATTAAATGTTTCGAATAGATTATGGTTGTTCGGCTACTTCTTTTAGAACCAAATAACTATTAACTTTAATTAATTATACTATATTCATTATTGTCCAAAAATGTGTAAAAACACAATAGTTGTTATAATTTGTAATATTATAATCAAATAAATATAGTTTATAAAAAGATTTGTGAAGATATAATTGGGATTATTTAATTTTTTTTATAATAATTATATTAAATTTATATGGTTAGTTTTTTTAATTCCTTTTACTTAATAAATGATAATTTGAAAATTTATTTAACTTATTATTTAGTTCATGACTTTTAAACTAAAAAGTCGTCGATTTTTAAAGAAACTCTATACTTTAGAGTCTAAAATCACTGAACAGTTATTAGAGTGTTGTTCAAAATCATTTTTCACTTTTTTTTATTGGTTATTATTATAAATAAATAGTACTATTAATTATAGTTATAGAATAAAATTATAGTTATAATACCATAGTAGAAACCAGTTATTATTCTATTTTAAAACAGGCTGCAAATTGCAATAAAAATCATTCAATAAATTCCAGTCAGTCTTTCTCTCTGTTATATCTTCTTTTTCGTTGTTTAAGAATTAAGCCGTCCCCATTTTCAGGTTTAGTTTCTTTCTTTTTCTCACTTTTCATCCTATCCTCCATTGCCTCTTCCTTATTAGCTCGAATAGATTTTGGCCTGTCTTCCTTTCTCTTCTCTTTCATAGTCTCCTCCACATTCTTTTCTTCCTTTTCATTACTTTTTATTTGCGGCGATTGGAGTCTTTTCGACGTCTCTGCATCTTTTTCTTTTCTTTCCTTGTCTTTCTGTTTACAAACCCTAAAGAGTTCGTTGTCTTTAGGCAAAGTGTATGATATTTCCCAAAATACCCAAGACGCTTTTGTTTGTAAATCGGCGTTATCGCACCGTAAAAACACACACAATTCCTGTGTCAAAAATCGCACCCATTTCTCGAATGATGTTTTGTAATTCGCATATTCAAGTGGTCGTGCCGCGGAGAACCCTTTTTTCTTATAACAATTCGCTTCGAACTTTCGCTCGTCGCACCAAAACATGAGCTTTTCTGTTATGTCACCAAAGAAGACTCCCAAGTGCTTTGCTTCGTTGTTTGTTGATATAAAGAGTGTGGGAATCACAAACTCGAAGATCAAGTTACACAAAAAGAGGATTGAAAACGCGTCGGTGTCTAACTCACACATCTTTAACACAAACATCGCAACATAATGTGCGTCTGTTTTACTCACTAACACTCTCTTTAACATCGCGTTAAAGAGAAACTTCGATGGGTAGTAATACACTTGTTGTTCCATTCCTCCATATTTCTCCTTTTTTAATGTTGCATCCAAAACTAAGAGTCTCTGGCGGTGGGCGGTAGCAATGTCTCGCATTTCGGCTCTCACCGTGTCAACTTTACAATGAGATTCAACGTACGAGTACTCATTATCTGGACATAACATATCCTCCAAGTCTAACAACCACAAGAGCACACCAACTTTGCCATATCCCTGTTCATTCATCCTTTCATCTATGACTTGTTTGATGTACATCATTTCATCGCTTGGTTTGTATTCAGCTCTTTCATATTTCAAATGAGCTTTAATACTGAGACTGTAATATTGGCTATAAGTGGGATCAAATATAATAACAAAGCGAACACCAGCCCAGAACGCAAAATCATCAGGATTGTGGCACAAGTACATTAACTCTTTTCTATTCCCTTTTAAATAGCTCAACACCTCATTCGGTGATATGCACAAACTCAACACTGTATAGTAGTTCTTTATTGTCTCTTGTACCATATCGTAGAACTCGCCAAACTTCTTTATATCATTTTTATAATTCACTTTCATTTCCCCAAGTAAGAACGGGACGTTAAACAAGTAATTCTGTTTCTTCATAACATCGACAAAACCTAATTTGGAGTATCTCACACATTGCATATCATTCGAAAAATTGTTGACAATACCGACTTTGGCGTTGCCCACCATTGCGTTTTGGTACATCTGTTTGTTCTTCCCTTCATGAAAAAGTAGTCCTTTAACGATCCAATACGCAATAGTTACAAAAACACTTTGGGATGTCCCAATAAATGATAGCGCTGCTTTCATTGACTCTTCGAAGAAATACCGCTTCGAGGTGATGTTTGTGCCAAACACAATTTTGGCCAAGTTGTTGAGTTTGTCCATGTTCGAGCCGATTATTTTTCGGAAGCGGTAGATCATGTACACCTTCACTAAATCGGGGATGAAGAGCATTTCGTTCAACACAATCAAAGCATTCGGTTGTTCTTTCAGCACATGGAGTATCAGTATCTCACCAGCAAAGAACCAATTTTTGCACTTACTGAAAAATTGAGTCAGCGACAATTCTTTGTTTAACACACTCTTTGCTAACTTATAAAACGACTTGATCTTGTCCCCATCCTTCTTCGGTGCATTTTCTATTTCATCGGCATTTTTGATCAACTCGACTATCTTTGTGTTGTAATAATTTTCAAATATAGAGTCCTTTGATATTGTCAAATTGAAAAACAAGTTTTGCACTTTGTCGATTTCTTGTTGCTTGACACCAGAGAAATGGGACAACAGAGACTCTCCAAATCGGTTTTGTGAAACTTCACTCGAACACAACTCACTTGCAAACTTCTGGTCGAACAACACATACATTGGAAGAGTGTCGAAGAGTGATGATATTAATTGACTCTCACTCTCACTTAAAGTCTTCAAGACTCCAGAAGAAAAGTCGATAACACTTTGTTGTAAATCTACAACACATTCACTTTGCTCCGCCAACAATGTAATGGAATACTCAACGACTTCTTTGAATGTGTTGGGGTTCAATTTCCCATTTTTGAGCAAAGAAACGACAACATCAAACACCATCTTTGGTTGTGTTGTGACGTACCCATTCAAAATCCTTGCCAAATCCCCAAAGCCAATTATGTCGTTGCAAATCAAGAACACGATAACATTTTTAATGTCCGATGGAACAACAAAGTCGGGCGTAACAATCGCCGCTAACAACTTTGGACATAATAAAAAGTGCTTGACCACTTCGCTAAATGTATTATATGTGTTAACCTTTTCGTACCCCAAAAATATCGCCTTGTATATCTCTCTGATGTCCACATTGTGTTTGTCTTCTTCTTAGTACACTTAAAACTCGGAACAACTGTTTTGTATCAAAATGCAAAGTATTCAATAAGTCAAAACAAACAAGCCTCCATATTTATAGAAAGAAACGCATTTTCAAAAACGACTTCTCCGTTCTCCAATTGTTGAAGAATGTGCAAAACGCTCTCTGTAAAATCGTCTTCCATTTGATTTATAAAGTTGAAGTTTTGAATTAATTTTTTATTATAGTATAATAATAGCTTTATTTTTACTATTTCTAATTTTAATGACAAGAGGAAGGGTTTCCTTATTTTGTAAATTGTATTTTGAAGAAAAAATATATTGTACTTAAAGCTATTAATTTATTAATTATAAACCAATAAGAAAAGGAAAGTTGTTTAGAGCAAGAAGATGAAGGCAAGAAGGAAGGAAATGATGTAAAGAGAAGAAGCACCACATTGGACCAAAATGTTAGTAACACCATAGCAAGTGTCACATTTATAAGTCTTGTCTGCACTATTCACGGTGTTGCACTTCTCATCTTGGCAATAAACAGTGTGAACCCAATCCTCATTTGAAATATCTCTAACTTCATACCTCCAATAATTTCCTTTACTTAAAATTCCTGAAGTTTGGCCAATTTTATCGGTATAGTAAGTACGAAAAAGTCTGTCAGCATTTGGGCAACCGGCATCATCAATACTATTTAAGAAAAACAAATGAGAGGGAGCAAAGAAAGAAGTAGAGGAACTCCCTCCAATTGCAATTGTTTTTTCCAATTTTTCATCTTGCTTACACTCGGAGTCTGAATATGTGTAGTACTTGGCATTGTCACCGTCTTTGACATACTTATAAGAAGTTTTTTTGTTGGTGGTAAAAAGGTAACAGAATTTAAATTCATACTTAATGAAGCTCATGGTTTCACCTTTATAGTTGTTACTCAAATTCTCGACGTAGTAATCAGCAGAGCAAAGCGCAAGTAATGTCGCCAAAATCAAGAGTTGCATGTTTTATAGATCACTCATCTGGTGTTATTAAATAGGCATCTTTTCAAAAGTATTTCATTTCAATTAACAATTAAATTGTTTTTTTATTATAAATTATAGAATTTGTTATTATAATTATTCGACATCTATATTTGGTTGGTCGACTTTAATTCAAATGTCGCCTGTTTTCGGTCTATTCCAAGATTTTCAACTTGTTGATACGTCATCAAATTTAGACGGGAATGTACTGTATCGACAAAGAAGAAGAAATTACAGAAATCGCCCTTTGTAATGAGTGGATCAAATTTTATTTCATGTTAAATTATTACAAGGTTGTAAACGTTTAAAAACAATGTACTATAAATAGGCAATAATTATTGTAACTTAAAAAGAATTGCTATAATTATTAATAATTATTAAAAAAAATAAATATTAGGAAAATATTTGTCTAAAATACGGGATAATTATATTTTCTCTCTCTAACATGCCAATTTTGTGTAATTGGTTTAACCAATTATTTTTGTTTGTTTTTAATAAAAATACTTTTTTATTCTTCTTTTTTTTACATTGGTTTTAAAACAAAAGTAACATTTAAAACCCCATCTGTGTATTAAATAACGGGTTTTAACACACTAATATTTACCTGTTTTGTACAGGTAAGATTACAAAACTTTTATTAACCATTAGAATTTCTGTGACAAAATTAATTTCTTTTCAAATTAATAAAACACGCTTTTTGTTGTGTATTATTTTAGATATGATTGATCTTATTTATTATTTAATTAAAAGTTTATATACAAATAATAAAAATTTAAAAATATGAAAAAACATAATTAAACAAATATACTTAAAATATATTATAAAATATAACTATAACAATTATAAAATAGATATTTAGATTTTTTATTAAAATAAAAGCTACATTTTATATAAAACTTTATTCGATTTTACTTATCAATCAAAAAAATTTAAGTATATTGAACAATCTTACAGAATTGATGCTCGTTGATTGTCCTGATAAGTACAATTCTTTCAAATTAGTAAAAAAAAATTATTTTTTATAATCCAATAAATTGTCGTGAAATCAAGTTAAATTTCAGTCATCCTTTCGTATTTTATGTATTCTCAAATATCTTTCATCAATTTGACAACTTTATCATTAAAATTCGTTGCGTTGTGGGTTTTTCCTCTTCGGTTGTCACCAATACTGAAAGTCTCCTCTTTGTGAAAAAAAAGTAAGTAAAACCACCAAAATGCGTTAAAGACGAAAAAAATAAAAAATGGTTATGTTTGGAACAATTTAATTGTTGGTGATAGACAATCATTAACCAAAAGACTAAATATATATTGGCAGTGTAATGAAACCAAACGAGAGTATATCATTGATGTTACAATCGCCAAAGACGAGAATATTATTAAATAATACTCAACAAATAATTGGGTAGTATTCACTACTTGTTGAAAAACACTGGGACAATGATACAGAAAGTGTTCTTATAATACCAATAGTGATTTAAAATAAGTATTTTGATCAATATATTTTCAAATATGGTATATATTTGATAATATATTGATAGTAGTCTAATATACTACTGTCAAAAGACTCAAAAAAACAATTGTAAATTAAACTGGGTAACATAAAAAATTTCGACTTTGTCGTTATAACATGTTTGAATTAAAATAGTTGGATGCAACAGAATTGAATTTTTGAATACTTTTTTTTGTTTTAATAAATATTTTTATTTTTTTTGTTTTTGAAACAATACAAAATGTTTTTCAACTTATGACAATAAATATTATAATTTACTATAATTTGCAAACTAGTCAGACTTTTTTTTTATCGACTCTAATAATAAAAAATATTTATAAAATGTCTAATAATGTATAAATAAATTGAAATGGAAACTTAATAATAAATCAAAAGTTAAAAAATTTTTAAATGAAGACAAAGGGTACAACTTAGCAATCTTCTTTTTTGCCGTTATATTATTAAAAATAAGACTGGTTAATTCCCAAATGTGTTGCAAAGTGGTGTATTTTTCTTTGTTCAAACAATTTGAACAACTCGTAAAAATAAAGTAAGAAAATATAGTATAATTATTACTAGAACAATTATAGAAATTGTCTTATTTATATTATTCACCTCAAATAATTTAACATAATTCCCAAAACACGTGTCTTTTCTAAATTACATATTTTTAATTAATTAGTTAAATTATCACTTTACTATAACAAAAAACTCTCTAAATAGAATAAATCTATTCTTATATCATTTTATAATACTATAAATTATAATAAATAAATTATAAAAATATGGTATTGTTCCAAAACAGTTGATAAAGATAGAACACTTGAATCACTCCGATAGTATTAAAAAGGCACTAACAAACAACTTCACTTTGATGAACAGACCACGTACCATAATCACAGTCCGTGCAACAAACATCGGCTTGAACCACAACATTCTTCTTTTTAAACACTACTTTTCAGCAGATGCCTACATCTCTGAGGTTAATCGAAAAAAGCCCATCAAGTTCGACTTAACACAACTTCAAGAGGTTCCTCCAACATTATATTTAGACTCCACAGTGCATTCTTCCGACTCCTCAAAACTCTTCAACAGCTTGGTCCAGCCTCTGGTCTTCAATTAGTTGTCGCTCTGTATGTACATCCTATTTATTCACTTCATTAATCATTCATTTATTATTCTTTTACTATAAATTTACCATATAAATAGTATTATTAGTGATACCATTTGAATAGTTATCTTTAACAAATGTGACTTGAAGCAATTATTCATCGAGTGTGCCATACCCCTCGTTCTTCTTCCCTCTGATTGAGTTCAAGGAGAGCCTTCTCTTTCCCGGTGTTGGACTATTTTTCTGTTGGAAATGAGGCATTTTTGGTGACTTTGATCTTTCTTGGACCATAACGACTGGGATCTGTCTTGTGGTGGCGACACCATCTTTTTCGGCTGGTCTTTCTTTGACAATCGGCTGAATTGTATTGATTTGCACTTCTACTTTAGCCCCACCACTCACCGAGTTTCCTCTGACCAAAGTGACGTCGGGTGTTTTCATCATAGCACTTGGTCTTCTCTTTCTTGCGACATCAATGTCGATATTTGGATTGGACGCGACGTATGACGCATTACCACGAAGGACTGGGATCGGGACGGGGAGAGCTGCTGTAATTTCTTTGGAGAGTTTGATGTATTCTGGAAACTTGATGGACAGTCCATTTTTATCGAACGTCACAAATTCCTCACACCCACTTTTAAAATAACTCCTTGCTCGTGTTTCATAACATTCTCGGCTTTTTTTCGTGTTTTG